CACCCGCCAGTCCCACAGCTGCTCAGACCCAACCAAGTAAACACAGAGACTTATATTGCTTACAAACTGTATGGCCATGGCAGGCTTCTTACTGTTTTTATAGCTTAAATTAATCCATTTCTATAAATCTATACCCTGCCACGTGGCTCGTGGCTTACCGGTACTTTACATCTTCCTTGTCCTGGTGACTGCTGGCAGTTTTTCCTTCTGCCTTCCTGTTCTTTTATTTCTCCTCTCTGTTAGTCCCGCCTATACTTCCTGCCTAGCCATGACCGATCAGGTTTTATTCATTGACCAATCAGAGCAACTTGGCATACAGACCATCCCCCAGCACAGCCAAGTGCAGACCATCTCAGACACCTGCACTCAGGCCCATGGTCCTAATCATCCTCTATGCGGACCTGCTGGGTAAAGCCACGAGGAACCCAAGAACGGGTTCCCACAGGACATACAGAACATCCCACAGCATGTGTATGTGTGTTTGTGAATTCTGGCCTGCACTCACAGGAGGTCTTAGGACAAACTGTGGGAGTCAGTTCCCTCCTGCTACACTGTGTGATCCAGGAATCAAACTTAGGTCAGCAAGTTCACCTGCAAGGGTGGAAGCCTAAGACCTCCTGTGTGTATAGGCCAGAAGGAGGTCAGAAGTTATTCAGAGCTTCTTCTGCCAAGGAGGTCCCATGGCATGGGAGTAGAGGTCAGGAGTCTGTTCTTTCCTTCCACCATGGGAATCCCAGGGATCAAGCTCGGGTCCTCAGTCTTGGTAACAAATCCCTTTACCCACGGAGCCGTCCTTCTAGTCCTAGAAAATGTTATTTTCTTACTCCGTCCAAACATTTGACCTCCTTGGCAGAAGAATCTCTAAATAACCTCTGACCTCCTTGTGACTACAGCTTGCTTCCTTCCTTACATCCTTCCTTCCTTCCTTCCCTCCTTCCTTCCTTCCCTTCCCTCCCCTCCCCTCTCCCCTCCCTCCCTTCCTTCCTTTTCCATCCTTCTTTCCCTGTCTCCTTCCTTTCTTTTTCTTCTTTTCTTAAAATTACGTTGATGGAGCTGAAGAGATGACTCTGCATTAAGAACACTGGCTGTTCTTCCAGAGGCCACAGGTTCAATTCCCAGCTCACAACACTCTGTAATTCCAATTGCAGGGGGGGTCTGATGCCCTCTTCTGGATGCCATGAGCACTGCATGCCCATGGTGCCCAGAGGTGCATGCAAAACACCCATACATATAAAATGACAATAATATAATCTCAAAAATATTTTGAGGGCAACCTGGACTACACGGGGAGGGGAGTTTGTTTATTTGGGAGT